ATAGTCGGAGGCTATATTTCAGTCTGTCTTGAAAACTCACCTCTTTAGAATGGCCTTTACCAGTCACCTAGTTCTGGCCGTTTACCCAGCTGGTTCTGAGTGGGTGGTTGAGTGAGTGAGTGGATGGGTGAATGAGTGGATGAGTGAGCAGGTTAGCGAGCATCGTGTGAAGGTGAGTCCTCCTCAACCACTCCACTGCCTTCGATAAATCGCCTCTTCTCCGCTTCATGGAAAAATCGCGTTATGAAAAATAATTTTTGGTATAGGGAGTAAAGCACAGTCTGCGATAACAGATGTGTAACGCAGGCCTGAACAAAGACGGAGGCGCGTGGGTAGCATCTAGAAGCATCCAGCAGCATCCCAACGCCTTGTGCGATGATGATGATGCTACGCCGAGGCAGCCGTATTATAACCACTTATTCCTACTCGTGCGACGTAGTTTTGTTCGCACGATCGCGTGACTATATCCAATTCGTTTTCGCGTTGTAAAAAATGAGTTCCATATAATACATTCATCATCGCGTTATACCCAAGTCGCGTTATGAAAACAACACGCGGCATTATAGGAGCACAGACTTTGGCCGATGATTTTGGAACGGAGCAGAATCATTATTTAAGTAGCCCTTGACCATAAAAAATGCAAACGTGAAATGTTAACGGTGCTGTTTTCCGGGACCGGTAGTTTTGCTTCTTCGCTCGCATCGGCTGATCGAACGCTTCGCTCCCCTCCTTCCTTTTTGTTCAAAACAGACGAAGCAAAAGACGCGGAACTCGCGTGCGAGGGGTGCGCCGGTGGCGGAGGCTTCCCGGACCTCCCCGGCGAGACGCAACGCGCCTGCGAGCGATGCGGGAAGACGTGTGGCGGCGCCGGCCGTCGCACGACGGTCGCCGCCGACGGCACGGAGCGAGGGCGCCGCAATTCAAACGCGCGTTCCGGACCGTGCGCCGGCGCGCGGCCACACGTCTGCAGGCGTCGCGGGAAGGGCTTCGAGCAGAGTTCCCAGCCGAACGTGGGCGAGAGGCGGCACCCGTGCGGCGATTGCGGGAAGGCGTTCGTGCGTCGCGAGCACCTGCGGTTGCACCGCATGACGCACACGGGCGAGCGGCCTCACGCGTGCGCCGATTGCGGGAAGGGGTTCGCCCGGCCCTCCGACTTGGAAGCGCACGCGAGGACGCACACGGGGGAGAAGCCGCACGCGTGCGCGGAGTGCGGAAAGGGCTTCGCTCAGCGCTCCAACCTGGAGACGCACTCGCGCACGCACGCGGCCGAGAAGCCGCACGTTTGCGGCGAGTGCGGCCGGGGGTTCGCGCAGCGCTCCAACCTGGAGGCGCACTCGGCCTCGCACACGGGCGCCTGGCCCCTGGCGTGCGCCAAGTGCGGCAAGGGCTTCGCCCGCCGCTCCGACCTGGAGAAGCACACGCGCAGGCACACTGGCGAAAAACCGCACGTGTGCGAGTACTGCGGCAAGAGGTTCGCCCAGCACTCGAACCTGCACACGCACCTGCGCACGCACACGGGCGAGCGGCCTCACGCGTGCGACGAGTGCGGGAAGGGCTTCGTGCGGCGTTCCCATTTGGTTGCCCACGCGAGGACGCACACGGGCGAGAAGCCGCACGCGTGCGCGGAGTGTGGCAAGACGTTTGCGACCCCCTACACGTTAAAGAAGCATTCCGCGGTACACGCGGGAGAATGGTCGCACGTGTGCGCGGAGTGCGGGAAGGGGTTCGCGCAACGTTCGGAGTTCACAAAGCACGCGAGGACGCACGCCGGCGAGAAGCCGTACGCGTGCGCCGAGTGCGGCAAGGCGTTCGCCCGGCGCGAGCACCTCAAGGGGCACTCGGCGACGCACACGGGCGACAGGCCGCACGCGTGCGACGAGTGCGGGAAGGGGTTCGCGCGTCGCGAGCACCTGAAGATGCACCGCATGACCCACACGGCCGAGAGGCCGCACGGGTGCGCCGAGTGCGGCAAGCGCTTCGCTCAGCGCTCCCAGCTGAAAGTGCACTCTGCCACGCACACGGGCGACAAGCCGCACGCGTGCCGGGAGTGCGGCAAGCGCTTCGTGCGGCCCTCCGACCTGGAGGCGCACGGCAGGACGCACACGGGCGAGAAACCGCACGCGTGTGCCGAGTGCGGCAGGGGCTTTGCGCAGCGCTCCCAGCTGAACGTGCACTCCGCGGTACACACCGGGGAGAAGCCGCACGTCTGCGGCGAGTGCGGGAAGCGCTTCGCCCACCGCAACAATTTGGCGAAGCACGCGCGGACGCACACGGGCGAGAGGCCGTACACGTGCGCGGAGTGCGGCAAGGGCTTTTTGCAACGCTCCCAATTGACCCTGCACTCCGAGTCGCACGTCGGGCCGATGACCTGAATGTTCGAGGAGTTCGAGGAGTTTGTGTACTTTTCGATTTAAAGCTTTCGTGACTGCAGGGATTCATCTTCTTGGTTCTTTCGGTAACGTCACGTAGAAGGAAAATAATAAAATAATAAAAACATAATAAAATAATTCTCACGACGTTTCGGCCACAACGCAAGCAGCCGTCTTCAAGTGGAGAACAGGTCTGTCGAGAAGGCAGAGAAAGAACCAAGAAGATGCGTTTGTGTACGCTGCAAAGATTTTTTTAATATATATGTACTAAAAGGACTCTTTCACTGTGTCTGTCTCCGTTGTCCTTTATTTGGGTTCTTACAACTTGTCCCACACGGCCCTCGCTCAGAGCCTCCCCGCTTGGCAGCTCGACAGCTGCCGTCGCTCCCGTAGCCTTTCCCCACTCCGATGCAGCTCTGCTGCAGACTTCCTTGTGCAGTCTTTCAGCTGCTCTCGCTGCAGCTCCACCGTAAAAACAAAGTTTTTCACTATAAATCCTTTATATGCGTGGCGGCTAGAGTCCTCTCGTCCTCAGGCTTGAGATGGCTGCCACCTATGGGTCAGATGATTGTCTGCCAGTATTAAACAATTGGTAATTAAATATTTAATTTGTTTTCCCTAAACAGTGTAAAATTTTGGGGAAAAAATGTCACGAAAATTAATTGTCTCGCACAACGAGTCTGTGTGGAAAATCTCAGCTCGATTGGATCACGGGAAGTGGATTAAAAAACGAGCGAAAGATTTGCACGGTCCTAAGCAAGTAAGCGAACTTAATATAAAGGATTTAAAAATATATTCGCCTGTGGAGGACGCGGGGATCGATCCCGCGACCTTTGGCATGGGAAGCGAGGGCGCTACCAACTGCGCTACTCCGCCACGGCCTGTGGAGGGGTTACGCTCTGGGCTCTTACACTCTGACGTTCAGCCAAAGCCATGAATGAGTTCTATTTGAATAAATGTAAAATAATTTTTTTTTGCCTAAAAAGTGTAAAATTTTGGGAATTTTTTTTCACGAACATTAATTGTCTCGCACAACGAGTCTGTGTGGAAAATGTCAGCTCGATTGGATCACGGGAAGTGGGTTAAAAAACGACCGAAAGATTTGCACGGTCGTAAGCGCGCAAGCAAGCAAGCGAACTTAATATAAAGGATTTAAAAAACCCAACCTCATGAAATAAAAAAAAAACCTTGTGGATGAATGATATTGGTCGAGAATGCCCTACTTACAGTGTTAAACTGATAGGGGGGGTTGGCAGGTGTGGGAGGTGGATGTGGACGGACAAGTGACTTTGTGGTAACCTAAACAAGCAAAGGGGCCGTCCATAAATGACGTCACGCGATTTTGGGCGATTTTTAAATCCTTTATATTAAGTTCACTTGCTTGTTGGCTTGCGCGCTTACGACCGTGCAAATCTTTCGGTCGTTTTTAACCCACTTCCCGTGATCCAATCGAGCTGACATTTTGCACACAGACTCGTTGTGCGTGACAATTTATATTCGTGAAAAAAAATTTCCAAAATTTTCCACTTTTTAGGAAAAAAAAAATTCATATTTTATTTAAAATACCAATGTGATAAAAATGAAACTCTTACTCAAGAAAAACAGAAAAGAATAATCAAATAAAACCGATGCCACGCATATAAAGGATTTATAGTGAAAAACGTTTTTACGGGTAAATTTTTTGACCCCCCCCCCCCTCGTCACACGGCGTCACAAAATGTCAGACCCCCCCCCTCAAATATGACGTCACAAAGCTTTGCCCCCCCCCAAAAAAAAATTGCTTCAAAGCGCTTTAAACTATTGTCATTGTAGTGCGAATTTAATGGGGCGCTGTTGTAGGAGAAAACATTTATTAAAATGTATTAAAAAGTATTTAATTAAGTAGAACGTGTTGTCTATTTGGTTCTTTCGGTAAAGTCACGTATAAAGATAAAATAATTAATTAAATATTGGCATACGACGTTTCGATTGCAACACAAGCAATCATCATCAGGTATAAATGAAATAGCAACAAAAAATCTAACCAGAAAACTATAGACAGACATATAAGCAGACAGATATCACCAAGATACTGTCTGCTTATATGTCTGTCTATAGTTTTCTGGTTAGATTTTTTGTCGCTCTTTCATTTATACCTGATGATGATTGCTTGTGTTGCAATCGAAACGTCGTATGCCAATATTTAATTTATTATTTTATTTTTCGATTTAAAGCTTCTTTCGTGACTGCAGGGATTCATCTTCTTGGTTCTTTCGGTAAAGTCACGTAGAAGGGAAGTAATAAAATAATACAAATAATTATATTATATTATTATATTGTGTTTTATTTTTATTATTTTATTACTTCCCTTCTACGTGAATTTATTATTTTATCTTTATACGTGAGTAATTCCTGCAGTCACGAAAGCTCCCAAATTAAGATCGTGTTGTCTATATTTATTTAAAGTTGTGCATTTTGATGTGACGTCACATTTCTCACCCCCTCCCCCCTATTGTCACAAATGTCTGACCCCCCTCCCAGGTGCGTGACGTCATTTATGGGCGGCCCCAAAGCAGCTGACGGTGTCTGCTTCAGTGTCTTGTGCTGCATCTTGTCGCTTCGATGCGCCGTGCAGAAGGGGGTGGGGGCTTACAGAGACACGAGGAGCAGAGACAAAGGGAGAGAGACACAGGGAGACATTGAGACAGGGAGAGACATCGAGACAGAGAGAGACATCTAGAGAGAGACAGGGGGAGAGAGACAGGGAGAGAGACAGGGAGACAAGAGACAGGGAGAGACATCGAGACAAAGGGAGAGAGACAGGGAGAGAGAGAGACATTGAGACAGGGGGAGAGACAGGGAGAGACATCGAGACAAAGGGAGAGAGACAGGGAGAGAGAGAGACATTGAGACAAAGGGAGAGAGACAGGGAGAGAGATAGACATTGAGACAGGGGGAGAGACAGGGAGAGACATCGAGACAAAGGGAGAGAGACAGGGAGAGAGAGAGACATTGAGACAGGGGGAGACAGGGAGAGAGACAGAGACAGGGAGAGACATCGAGAGAGAGACATTGAGACAGGGGGAGACGTGGAGAGAGAGAGAGACGGGGAGAGAGACAGGGAGGGGGCGGTGACTAGATGAAGACACGGAGCTAGAGGGACACGGGGATAGAGAGACAGACAGACGTGGCTTAGACAGACAGAGACAGACACACAGAGACAGACGTGGCTTAGAAAGACACACAGAGACACAACAGACGTGGCTTAGACAGAGACAGACACACAGAGACATACGTGGCTTAGACAGAGACAGACAGACACAGACGTGGCTTAGAGACAGACACAGACAGACGGGGATAGAGAGACACGTGGTTTAGAGAGACACACAGTGTGGCTTAGAGAGACACACACAGAGACACAGACAGACGTGGATTAGAGACACAGACAGACGGGGATAGAGAGACACGTGGTTTAGAGAGACATAGACATAGACGTCGCTTAGAGAGACACAGACACAGACAGACGTGGCTTAGAGATACAGACAGACGTGGCTTAGAGAGACACACACAGAGACACAGACACACGTGGCTTAGAGAGACACACACAGAGACACAGACACACGTGGCTTAGAGAGACACACACAGAGACACAGACACACGTGGCTTAGAGAGACACAGACACACGTGGCTTAGAGAGACACACACACAGAGACACACAGAGACGTGGTTTAGAGAGACAGACACAGACACGTGGCTTAGAGAGACAGACAGACAGACGTGACTTAGAGACAGACAGACGGGAATAGAGAGACACAGAGACACACACAGACGTGTCTTAGAGACAGACACAGAGACACGTGGCTTAGAGAGACAGACACAGAGACACAGACGTGGCTTAGAGAGACACACACAGACGTGGCTTAGAGAGACAGAGACACACGTGGTTTAGAGAGACACACAGAGAGACACACACAGACGTGGCTTAGAGACAGACACAGAGACACGTGGCTTAGAGAGACAGAGACAGACGTGGATTAGAGAGACAGACACAGAGACACAGACGTGGCTTAGAGACAGACACAGACGTGTCTTAGAGAGAGACACGTGGCTTAGAGAGACAGAGACAGACGTGGATTAGAGAGACACACACAGAGAGACACGTGGCTTAGACAGACACAGAGAGACACACACAGAGACACAGACGTGGCTTAGAGAGACACACACAGAGACACGTGGCTTAGAGAGACACAGAGAGACACGTGGCTTAGACAGACACAGAGAGACACACACAGAGACACAGACGTGGCTTAGAGAGACACACACAGAGACACGTGGCTTAGAGAGACACAGAGAGACAGACACAGAGAGACACGTGGCTTAGAGAGACAGAGACAGACGTGGATTAGAGAGACACAGAGACACAGACGTTGATTAGAGAGACACACAGAGAGACACGTGGCTTAGAGAGACAGACACACAGAGACACACACAGAGACACAGACGTGGCTTAGAGAGACACACACAGAGAGACACGTGGCTTAGAGAGACACACAGAGAGACACACACAGAGACACAGACGTGGATTAGAGACAGACACGTGGCTTAGAGAGACAGAGACAGACGTGTCTTAGAGAGACAGACACACAGAGAGACACGTGGCTTAGAGAGACAGACACAGAGACACGTGGCTTAGACAGACACAGAGAGACAGACACAGAGAGACACGTGGCTTAGAGAGACAGATACACAGAGAGACACGTGGCTTAGAGAGACACAGAGAGACAGACACAGAGAGACACGTGGCTTAGAGAGACAGACACAGAGAGACACGTGGCTTAGAGAGACAGACAGACGTGAAGAGTCAACACGTGGTGAGTCCTTAAAGTCCCACACGTGACGACCGGCGTGGTGAAGTATGGTCAGATTTCGATTTAAAGCTTCTTTCGTGACTGCAGGGATTCATCTTCTTGGTTCTTTCGGTAAAGTCACGTAGAAGGGAAATAATAAAAATATAAAAATAAAACATAATAATTATATTTTATTGTAAAATAAAAATAAAACATAATCATATTTTATTATGTTTCTTTTTTATTATTTTATTATTTCCCTTCTACGTGACTTTACCGAAAGAACCAATAAGTATGGTCAATTTACCCCCCCCCCCCCCGTGCCTTGCACAGCGTGGAGTTGGAGGCATTCATCCAGCAGTGGACAGCCAACTTTGTTGACGGGCACTCGTGGGTCTTTGGGTGAAGTAACGAGCCGAATGGCACACAGGGTTATACCTAAATAAATAAAATGTAGATATAGATTCAAAGAAAATATCAAAAAAGGAATGGCTCACAGGGTTATACATAATCAATAAAATGTAGATATAGATTCAAAGAAAATAAACTAAAAACGAATGGCTCACAGGGTTATACCTAATCAATAAAATGTAGATATAGATTCAAAGAAAATAAACTAAAAACGAATGGCTCACAGGGTTATACCTAATCAATAAAATGTAGATATAGATTCAAAGAAAATAAACTAAAAACGAATGGCTCACAGGGTTATACCTAATCAATAAAATGTAGATATAGATTCAAAGAAAATAACAAAAAATGGCTCGCAGGGTTATACCTAATCAATAAAATGTAGATATAGATTCAAAGAAAATAACAAAAAAAATTACAAAAAACGAATGGTTCACAGGGTTATACCTAATCAATAAAATGTAGATATAGATTCAAAGAAAATATCAAAAACGAATGGCTCACTGGGTTATACCTAATCAATAAAATGTAGATATCGATTCAAAAAATAACAAAAACAATAAAAAAAACAAATGGCTCGCAGGGTTATACCTCATCAATAAAATGTAGATATAGATTCAAAGAAAATAAAAAATAAACAAAAAACGAATGGCTCGCTGGGTTATACCTCATCAATAAAATGTAGATATAGATTCAAAGAAAATAAAAAATAAACAAAAAACGAATGGCTCACAGGGTTATACCTCATCAATAAAATATAGATTCAAAGAAAATAAAAAAAATAAACAAAAAACGAATGGCTCGCTGGGTTATACCTCATCAATAAAATGTAGATATAGATTCAAAGAAAATAACAAAAATAAACAAAAAACTAATGTCTCACAGGGTTATACCTAATCAATAAAATGTAGATATTTTTTCTTCTGGCAAATGAGGTTCCAATGGTATAAACTATGGATTGTTTTGACCAGATAAGGCCCCACTGAGCTATGTGACTTCTTGTTTCAGAAGCGACCCTGGCCATCACAAATGATATGAGCTCAACTAAAGGTTATCATCATCTTTCGATTTAAAGCTTTCGTGACTGCAGGGATTCATCTTCTTGGTTCTTTCGGTAAAGTCACGTAGAAGGGAAGTAATAAAATAATAATAAGTATAACCCGTAAAAACAAAGTTTTTCACTCTAAATCCTTTATATGCGTGGCGGCTAGAGTCCTCTCGTCCTCTGGCTTGAGATGGCTGCCACCTATGGGTCAGATGATTGTCTGCAGTATTAAACAATTGGTAATTAAATATTTAATTTGTTTTCCCTAAAAAGTGTACAATTTTGGAAAAAAAATTTCACGAACATTAATTGTCTCGCACAACGAGTCTGTGTGCAAAATGTCAGCTCGATTGGATCACGGGAAGTGGGTTAAAAAACGACCGAAAGGTTTGCACGGTCCTAAGCAAGCAAGCGAACTTAATATAAAGGATTTAAAAATAAAACACAATAAAATAATTCTCACGACGTTTCGGCCACAGACTCTGTCGCCTCGACGGACCTGGTTTTCACCTGAGGACGGCTGCTTGCGTTGTGGCCGAAACGTCGTGAGAATTATTGTGTTTTATTTTTATTATTTTATTACTTCCCTTCTACGTGACTTTACCGAAAGAACCAAGAAGAGGAGTTATTATCATCATCATCATAACGTGGACATTTATAGCAGCATCCAAAATAGCTCATAATAACAACAGCAACTTTCTGATATGCCAGTGTGTGTGTGTGTATATATACAGGCAGTCCTCTATTTACGACGGAGATGCGTAACGACGACCCCATCGTAAGTCAAAAATATCGTAAGTCGAAGATGGCCTATAGCCTACCCAGGAGTCTTAAAGAATGGTGATAATTTAGCAAAACAGAGCAATTTACTGTATAAACTATATACTGTATATTTTTATTAATTACAATACTGTATTGCACAGTCAAATGTAAATTTAAAAAAAACAAGGTAAATTCTTAGCTTACCTATATGAACTGCAATTTAATAGAAAGTTTTTTCAAGAAACAATCCTATCTGCTATAAAAACTTTTAACATGCATTGAACGTACGTATCGTATCGTGGTAACCCTAAAATGGAATCGCTAAAGCTACGTATCATACCATGCATTGAACGTATCGTAACGTATCGTATTGTGGTCACCAAGATTCTGACCGTCGTCTGCATACTTGAACGATGTTGGGTTGTTGATGGCAATTTTGTCGTATCGCTATCACCATCGTAAGATCGAAATATCGTAAGTCGGACCCCATCGTAACTCGGGGACTATCTGTATAATCTGTAAGGCTCATGGTTCTGGCCAGAATCACACAACCGCTTTACTGGACATCTGTGCGGAAAAAGAGCTTTAAGGATCATCGGATTCCTCCCACTATAAATACATACTCTGATACTGTTGGCTTAACGGACTGTAATCCACATGAGCCCTGCAGTTGGCCCTACAGTTAAACATGTGACCCACAGCTTCTTTATAAATATCGGTGACGTTCCTTCCTGGCATCACGAATATTCATCGTCGATGGCTTTCTCGTCTTTGCAAGCAGCGCGCCGTGGTGGCTATGAGATGTGAACTACCTCGCCAGGTACGCAGGAGGTCGTGGGTTCCATCCCAACCCTGACGATGCCTGCTGCTGTATATTTGGAGTTTGTCTCTCTCTCATCATCATCACGGTGGCTATGAGATGTGAACTACCTCGCCTGGTACGCAGGAGGTCGTGGGTTCCATCCCAACCCTGACGATGCCTGCTGCTGTATATTTGGAGTTTGTCTCTCTCTCATCATCATCACGGTGGCTAGGAGATGTTAACTACCTCGCCTGGTACGCAGGAGGTCGTGGGTTCTATCCCAACCCTGACGATGCTTGCTGCTGTATATTTGGAGTCTGTGTCTTTCTCTCATCATCATCACGGTGGCTAGGAGATGTGAACTACCTCGCCTGGTACGCAGGAGGTTGTGGGTTCCATCCCAACCCTGACAATGCCTGCTGCTGTATATTTGGAGTCTGTGTCTCTCTCTCATCATCATCACGGTGGCTAGGAGATGTGAACTACCTCGCCTGGTACGCAGGAGGTCGTGGGTTCCATCCCAACCCTGACGATGCCTGCTGCTGTATATTTGGAGTCTGTGTCTCTCTCTCATCATCATCACGGTGGCTAGGAGATGTTAACTACCTCGCCTAGTACGCAGGAGATCGTGGGTTCTATCCCAACACTGACGATGCTTGCTGCTGTATATTTGGAGTCTGTGTCTCTCATCATCATCACGGTGGCTAGGAGATGTGAACTACCTCGCCTGGTACGCAGGAGGTTGCGGGTTCCATCCCAACCCTCACGATGCCTGCGGCTGTATATTTGGAGTTTGTGTCTCTCATCATCATCACGGTGGCTATGAGATGTTAACTACCTCGTCTGGTACGCAGGAGGTCGTGGGTTCTAATCCCCGACCCTGACGATGCCTGCTGCTGTATATTTAGAGTCTTTCTGTCTCTTGTCATCATCACGGTGGCTAGGAGATGTGAACTACCTCGCCTGGTACGCAGGAGGTCGTGGGTTCCATCCCAACCCTGACGATGCCTGCCTGCTGTATATTTGGAGTCTGTGTCTCTCTCTCATCATCATCACGGTGGCTATGAGATGTGAACTACCTCGCCTGGTACGCAGGAGGTCGTGGGTTCCATCCCAACCCTGACGATGCCTGCCTGCTGTATATTTGGAGTCTGTGTCTCTCTCTCATCATCATCACGGTGGCTATGAGATGTGAACTACCTCGCCTGGTACGCAGGAGGTCGTGGGTTCCATCCCAACCCTGACGATGCCTGCTGCTGTATATTTGTAGTCTGTGTCTCTGTCTCTCATCATCATCACGGTGGCTATGAGATGTGAACTACCTCGCCTGGTACGCAGGAGGTCGTGGGTTCCATCCCAACCCTGACGATGCCTGCTGCTGTATATTTGGAGTCTGTGTCTCTCTCTCATCATCATCACGGTGGCTATGAGATGTTAACTACCTCGTCTGGTACGCAGGAGGTCGTGGGTTCTAATCCCCGACCCTGACGATGCCTGCTGCTGTATATTTAGAGTCTGTGTCTCTCTCTTGTCATCATCACGGTGGCTAGGAGATGTTAACTACCTCGCCTGGTACGCCGGAGGTCGTGGGTTCCATCCCAACCCTGACGATGCCTGCTGCTGTAGATTTGGAGTCTGTGTGTCTCACATCATCATCACGGTGGCTAGGAGATGTTAACTACCTCGCCTGGTACGCAGGAGGTCGTGGGTTCCATCCCAACCCTGACGATGCCTGCTGCTGTATATTTGTAGTCTGTGTCTCTGTCTCTCATCATCATCACGGTGGCTATGAGATGTGAACTACCTCGCCTGGTACGCAGGAGGTCGTGGGTTCCATCCCAACCCTGACGATGCCTGCTGCTGTATATTTGGAGTCTGTGTCTCTCTCTCATCATCATCACGGTGGCTGTGAGATGTGAACTACCTCGCCTGGTACGCAGGAGGTCGTGGGTTCTAATCCCCGACCCCTGACGATGCTTGCTGCTGTATATTTGGAGTCTGTGTCTCTCATCATCATCACGGTGGCTATGAGATGTGAACTACCTCGCCTGGTACGCAGGAGGTCGTGGGTTCCATCCCAACCCTGACGATGCCTGCTGCTGTATATTTGGAGTCTGTGTCTCTCATCATCATCACGGTGGCTATGAGATGTTAACTACCTCGCCTGGTACGCAGGAGGTCGTGGGTTCCATCCCAACCCTGACGATGCCTGCTGCTGTATATTTGGAGTCTGTGTCTCTGTCTCTCATCATCATCACGGTGGCTATGAGATGTTAACTACCTCGCCTCGTACGCAGGAGGTCGTGGGTTCTACCCCAACCCTGACGATGCCTGCTGCTGTATATTTGGAGTCTGTGTCTCTCATCATCATCACGGTGGCTATGAGATGTGAACTACCTCGCCTGGTACGCAGGAGGTCGTGGGTTCCATCCCAACCCTGACGATGCCTGCTGCTGTATATTTGGAGTCTGTGTCTCTCTCTCATCATCATCACGGTGGCTATGAGATGTGAACTACCTCGCCTGGTACGCATGAGGTCGTGGGTTACATCCCAACCCTGACGATGCCTGCTGCTGTATATTTGGAGTCTGTGTCTCTCTCTCATCATCATCACGGTGGCTAGGAGATGTTAACTACCTCGCCTGGTATGCAGGAGGTCGTGGGTTCTAATCCCCGACCCCTGACGACTGCCCAGTGTATATTTGGAGTTTGCGTCTCTCTCCATGGTGGATTTTTCTCCGGGTCCTCCGGTTTTTCCCCACCACGTTAAGAATCAAGCATCACGTGTTTCGAGTGTTTGGCTGCTGCTATGAATTTCCCACGCGGTGATGTTGATAATGATGAGAAGCCGCCACTTGGATTGAGCTGCTATCATTTGTGATGGCCAGGGGTCTCATCTTGTAAAAATTAACCCGTAAAAACAAAGTTTTTCACTATAAATCCTTTATATGCGTGGCGGCTAGAGTCCTCTCGTCCTCTTGCTTGAGATGGCTGCCACCTATGGGTCAGATGATTGCCTGCCACCATTAAGCAATTGGTAATTAAATATTTAAAAAAATTCCTAAAAAAAAAAATTTTCACGAAAATAAATTGTCACGCACAACGGGTCTGTGTGCTAAATGTCAGCTCGATTGGATCACGGGAAGTGGGTTAAAAAACGACCGAAAGATTTGCACGGTCGTAAGCAAGCAAGCAAGTGAACTTAATATAAAGGATTTAAAAAATAAAAAGTAGTTTACATCTCAGTTTAGCAGCGAATAGCTTTAATTCGAGTGGTCTTCCAATTCGTCGATGTTTGTTGTATGTACGTTGAACTTCTTTCGCACCGTACGACTTTTTGCTAACCGTTTATGGGCAATGGACTAAAGACATTAATTTTCAATTTAGTGTAGTGTGTTGTGTTGCATGGTGTGTGTCGTAGCGTAGTGTATAGTGTCGTGTGAATTCTCGTATATAGTGTAGTGTGTAGCGTTGTGGTGTAGTATGTAGTATATAGTGTAGTTTGTATTGTGTATAGTGTAGTGTGTAGCGTTGTGGTGTAGTATGTAATGTATAGTGTAGTGTATAGTGTAGGGTGTATCTTATTGTAATGTATAGTGTGTAATGTTGTGCGTTGTAGTGTATAGTGTAATGTATGTGTGTTGAATGTCTTTAGCACCGTACGGAGCCATCCGTGCTAATTGGAGGTGCGGGGAGCAGAACAACAAACTTAACCCTGAAAGAATTTCTAAAGAAATGAGTTTGTCAATATCGATGATGATTTAAAAGTGGCATAGCTCCAGTAGCTTCCTAATATCGGAAGGAAGAGCGTTCCAGACGGCTGCAGAAGCGCATCTGAAAGCGTGCGATGCGGTGACCACCATCTCTTTTTCGATGGCCAGCCAGGAGTGTAGCGTATAGTGTATAGCAGTGTATAGTGTAGTGTATAGCAGTGTATAGTGTAGTGTATAGCAGTGTATAGTGTAGTGTATAGCAGTGTATAGTGTAGTGTATAGCAGTGTATAGTGTAGTGTATAGCAGTGTATAGTGTAGTGTATAGTGTAGTGTATAGTGTAGTGTATAGCAGTGTATAGTGTAGTGTATAGTGTAGTGTATAGTGTAGTGTATAGCAGTGTATAGTGTAGTGTATAGTGTAGTGTATAGTGTAGTATATAGTAGTATCTAGTGTAGTGTATAGTGTAGTGTATAGTGTAGTGTATAGCAGTGTATAGTGTAGTGTATAGCAGTGTATAGTGTAGTGTATAGTGTATAGCAGTGTAGAGTGTAGTGTATAGCAGTGTATAGTGTAGTGTATAGTGTATAGCAGTGTATAGTGTAGTGTATAGCAGTGTATAGTGTAGTGTATAGTGTAGTGTATAGTGTATAGCAGTGTAGAGTGTAGTGTATAGCAGTGTATAGTGTAGTGTATAGCAGTGTGTAGTGTATAGTGTAGTGTATAGCAGTGTATAGTGTAGTGTATAGCAGTGTATAGTGTAGTGTATAGCAGTGTATAGTGTAGTGTATAGCAGTGTATTGTATAGTGTATAACGTAATATATAGTGTAGGGTATAGTAGTGTATAGCAGTGTATAGTGTAGTGTATAATGTAATATATAGTGTATAGTGTAGTGTATAAAGCATTGTCTTTGTTTGATGACCAGCCAAAAGCTCCTGCTGCTGTGAGAATGACCATCAGAGTTTTGCGTAATGATGATTTGTAGGACGAGATCTGTGGTGAGGTTCGTTTGTGGAATGAGAGGTTTTCCACTTTTTGTTCGTCTCCCCTTCAGATGGATCCACACTTCAAATTGCCGTTCATCAAGCAAGAATACGAAGAGCATCCAAACCCAGGGACGTCTGCTGACCCGTTGGTGAAACGCGAAGATGCAGATGCTGGTGAGTCAACTAAACGCGTTTCTTATTTGACCAGTTTAGGCTCCACTGAGCTGCTGAAGCCGCTTGTCTGTCACGAATGATAGCTCAACGAAGTGGCTTATTGTCATCATCATCATCATCACGTGCAAATGTATAGCAGCAGCCAAATACTCTAAACGCGCGGTGATGTTGATTCTAAACGCGCGAGGAAAAAAACCAGAGGACTCCGAGAAAAATCCACGCGACCACGGAGAGAGAGAGAGAGACGCAGACTCCAAAATATACAGCAGCAGGCGTCGGGGTCGGGATCGAACCCACGACCTCCTGCGTACCAGGCGAGGGAGATAAACATCTCCGAGCCACCGCGGTGACCCACAGTGGCGAGATGAGTGCGCGTAAACCATCGACTGTAAATTAATAATTCGCGCAGTGAAACACTCTCAATCCTAGGATGCAACTCTAGAAATACAGCAGTAGACGCGTTAGCAAAAAGTGACGCGTCAAACGAAAAAGTGCTAAGTAAAAGCAGTCTCCCCGACCACCCATTAACGACTAATCGCTTAATGATAGGCCTCCATAGAGCCCAATGTGTAGTGGTGTATAGGGTAGTGTATAGTAGTGTATAGTGTCGTCGAGAGGAATAGATTGCCGTGTCGTTCGCCTTCGACAGACATAAAATGACGTCGCAACGCAGTTAATGCGAGAGTCGGGGGCTTATGGGATCCCGCCATGAGGTTCAACTGTTTGTCACATAAACAAACTAATTGGCACCACGTGACTAACCTCACCGGCTTTGTCAGGTCGTGGAGGGTTACGCCACTTACGTGATCTAACCCAAAAAACTTGATTATGAAAGGTAAGTTCGTTTGCTAACTATTATTTAACTATGCTCTTTGGTTCTTTCGGTAAAGTCACGTAGGTAGGAATAAGTATAACCCGTAAAAACAAAGTTTTTCACTATAAATCCTTTATATGCGTGGCAGCGAACTTAATATAAAGGATTTAAAAATATATTCGCCAGTGGAGGACGCGGGGATCGATCCCGCGACCTTTGGCATGGGAAGCGAGGGCGCTACCAACTGCGCTACTCCGCCACGGCCTGTGGAGGGGTTACGCTCTGGGCTCTTACACTCTGACGTTCAGCCAAAGCCAAGAATGAGTTCTTTTGAATATATGTAAAATATTTTTTTTTTGCCTAAAAAGTGTAAAATTTTGGGAATTTTTTTTCACGAACATTAATTGTCTGGCACAACGAGTCTGTGTGGAAAATGTCAGCTCGATTGGATCACGGGAAGTGGGTTAAAAAACGACCGAAAGATTTGCACGGTCGTAAGCAAGCAAGCACGCAAGCAAGCAAGCGAACTTAATATAAAGGATTTAAAAAAAATAGATCACGACGTTTCGATCGCAACACAAACAATCTTCAACAAGGTGAGACGACCACAGCAAGAAAAAAACTGCTTAAGTAGGCGAGAGAGCTGCCGTGACAAGAGGTTATATGATATATTGTGTTGCGATCGTAACGTCGTGATCTATTATTTTTTCTACCCACGTGGACTTTACCGAAAGAACCAAAGAGTGTGGATTCCTGCAGTCACGTAAGCTTCAAATCAAGATGTTATTTCACTGGCTTTTTTTGCCCGTCGAAGGACGGGTGTATATTGCAGTAAATCTGAAATATTCAATAGAAAAATAGGTTCAGGCTCATGATTATACGCCAAAAGGTGCCAAAAGGCGTCCTCTGGTCTAACACCGTTTGAGACGAGGCTCGAAAGAAAGCTGTCTCTGGTGTGGACCAATCAGTTTCAAAGACAATGCATCATCTACTATCAGAGTATGTTTTTTGTTTGCATTCTGACCACAAGTATTGTGGTTAATGCTAGGCACGATTCCTTGTAAAAGGTTTCAGTTTGGTGTTTTAACATCTTAACACAGCTGTTTTGTTGCCAGAAAAAAGGGGAAAACCTATTCTCATATTTTGGTACTGGCAAAGGAGGAGGTCCCATGATGTAGTTCATTGTCGTAGGCCAAATATCATTGCCCGCGAAAATTGAGCTGTTCACAAGCACCTCCAGACCTTCGCCGCGATCACCGGGGAAATGGCCGTGGCCACGTGTGGAACTGTCATTTTTAATGGGAAAAAAACAACAAAAAACGCGTCGTGGACGTGAAAACAAACGTGATGTTACTCAGCTTCAACATAAAAAAAAACAAGTCTAAGGGTCTCACCAACTCGTTCACCCAATCATCCTGGAAATCTTCTCCAAGTTTTTGGGGTTCTCACATTTTCGTGACTATCCGTCGCAAATTCTCAGGAGCTTTAAAACGCGACAACATTTTTTTTGAAGCACACCTCTCCACCGTTCGAACGAGAAGATCAACAACTACAACATATTCTTAGGTTTTTTTCGGTAAAGTCAATCTCGTGCCGTGTCGTTCCACCGAATGGTAACGGCGGTGCGTCGAACGCGGCGCGTGCAGGAGCTGCTGTCGCGATGCCGGAAGATGAAGAAGAGAGGCTGGGCGATGAGAATTTGAGGGTTGTGGTGAAAAGTGAAGTGGAGCAGAACGGTAAGATCCCTACCACCCCGCCCACCCCATCACCCCCACCCCGCCCACCCCATCCCCCCCATCCCCCCACTCTGCCCCTCCCACCCCATCCTCCCCCCATCTCCCCCCCCACCCCATCCCCCCACTCTGCCCCACCCCATCCCCCCCACCCCGCTCCCCCCATCCTGCTCCCCCCATCCCCCCCACCCCGCCCAGCACCCTGCCCACCCCATCCCCCCCACCCCGCTCCCCCCCATCCCCCCATTCTGCCCCCCCCACCCCATCCCCCCCACCCCATCCCCCCACTCTGCCCCCCCCCCCACCCCATCCCCCCCACCCCATCCCTCCACTCTGCCCCCCCATCCCCCCCACTCCGCCCACCACCATGCCCATCCCCTCCATCCCTCCACTCTGCCCCCTCCACCCCATCCCCCCCCAACCCATCCCCCCCCCATCATCATACATCGAACAAAGACGGTCACCGTATTGCCACGGTGCGTTCTGCGGCAGTGGCTAAGAGATGTTAACTACCTCGCCTGGTACGCAGGAGGTCCGTGGGTTCGATCATGACCCTGACGACGCCTCTATATTTGGAGTTTGCATCTCTCTTTCTCCGTGGCCGCGTGGATTCATGTAGACCCAGGCTCGTAGAGAGCCATACTACTCCGCTGGCTCTTGACACGGTTGCTTGACCACCCGAATGTGACGCTCGTCGTTGTTGATCTGCCATCTACATCGGTAGCCATTCGGAAGAAGAACAGGAAGGAGGGAGGGAGGAGGGAGGAAGAAGGCCGCGCAACCGAAGAGTTTTTCATTACGGCTCGTGGAAAAAAATGTTTAGCATTTTTAATCGATGGCGATTTTCTAACGAGGGTCAAACGTAACAGCGAGGGTTTTCGCCGTTCTCAGCCGATGTAAACTCAGGCGAGATGCCGTGAATTCTAAAAAGTAGCAGGGTGGAAACTCGGGAGGACGAATCGCCCCCCCTACCCCCCCCCCCCCCTCGTGTGATTGAGAGACTATGGCCCTTTTTTTAAATCCTTTATATTAAGTTCGCTTGCTTGCTTGCTTGCGTGCTTGCGTGCTTGCTTGCTTGCTTACGACCGTGCAAATCTTTCGGTCGTTTTTTAACCCACTTCCCGTGATCCAATCGAGCTGACATTTTGCACACAGACTCGTTGTGCGTGACAATTGATTTTCGTGAAAAATTTTTCCCAAAATTTTACACTGTTTAGGGAAAGTTTTTTAAATATTTAATTACCAATTGCTTAATGGTGGCAGACAATCATCTGACCCATAGGTGGCAGCCATCTCAAGCCAGAGGACGAGAGGACTCTAGCCGCCACGCATATAAAGGATTTATAGTGAAAAACTTTGTTTTTACGGGTAAATCTTTTCTGAATTGCAGCTCCGGACGCCAACATTTTGAATGTCGACGGAACCGATAATGAGAGGCCAGAGGATGAAGCGGATTCCTACGAAAGTGTGAGCACCACCAGTACCGCAGCAGCAGCGGCGGCGACGACGGCAACAGACAAGAATTTCATTGAGGTGGAGTTGTTGGAAGAGGATATTGGTCAAGGTGCGTTCCCCTTTAGATCGCAGAGATGGTGTTATCTTTTCTTGATTTGTCGCCAGTAATCTCAGTCGGACGCGATCCGGGCGCCGCGGTGGCTAGGAGATGTTAACTCCCTCGCCTCGTATGCAGGAGGTCGTGGGTTCGATCCCGACCCTGACGCCTGCTGGTGGATTGTTTCACTCTGCTGGCAAGTCGCCCGATGATGCTAATTACCAGCGAAACGTCGTACTACTCAAATTGTAAATGTTTTGGATTGACTCTCCAACACACCGGTGGGCTGAAGTAGTACACTACACTATACACTACACTATACACTACACTACACACTACACTATACACTACACTATACACTACACTATATTACACTATACACTACAATATACACCTCACTATACACTACACTATACACTACACTATACACTACACACTACACTATACACTACACTATACACTACACGATACACTACACTATTTTACACTATACATTACAATATACACTTCACTATACATTACACACTACACTATACTATACACTACATTACACACTACACTATACACTACACACTACAATACACACTTCACTATACACTACACTATACACTACACTATACACTACAATATACACTACAATATACACTACACTATATTACACTATACACTACAATATACACTTCACTATACACTACACTACACACTACACGACACTATATTACACTACACTATACACTACAATATACACTACACTATACACTACACTATACACTATATTACACTACACTATATTGCACTATACACTACACTTTACAACACTATACACTATACTACACTGTAGACTATCCTACACTATACACTATACTAGTAACACATTGTTTACGTGACAAACCTTACTCACCGTGGTCGCGTGGATTTTCTTCTCGGGGTCCTCCGTTCTTTTTAAATCCTTTATATTAAGTTCGCTCGCTTGCTTGCTTAGGACCGTGCAACTCTTTTGGTCGTTTTTTAACCCACTTCCTGTGATCCAATCGAGCTGACATTTTCCACACAGACTCGTTGTGCGTGACAATTAATGTTCGTGAAAATTTTTTTCCAAAATTTTACACTTTTTAGGAGAAAAATATTATATTTAATTACCAATTGCTTAATGGTGCAATGCAATCATCTGACCCATAGGTGGCAGCCATCTCAAGCCAGAGGACGAGAGGACTCGAGCTGCCACGCATATAAAGGATTTATAGTGAAAAACTTTGTTTTTACGGGTTATGCTTGTTTCATCCACATTTAGAATCAACGTCACGCGTTCAGAGCATTTGGCTGCTGCTATACATTTCCACATGATTAGGGGCCATCCATTTAGTACGTACGCATGGAGAGGGAAGGGGGGGGGTTAACCAAGTGTGTACGCTTAAGTATGGGGGGGGTCTACTGACAATGTACGTACGCATAGGAAACGGGGGGGGGGGGGGGTTGAAGCCTCGATAATAATTTGTCTACATTGGCCTTCAGATAGTCCGACTATCTGTTTACTTAAACAGGTTAACATTATTAATCCTTGATCGTTTCTGCGTGGATTAAATATCGGCCGTTGCTATAAATCCGCAGAGAGAGACACGCAGACTCGAAATATATACGGCAGGTATCCGGGCCGGGATCGAACCCACGCAAACTCCTGTATGCCAGGCGAGTTAGTTCACATCTCCTAGCGACCGCGAACAGGTCACTAAAATCTTATCGCAAACCTAAAAATCTTACCGACGCCCATTTCCGGTAACCCGTTTCCTGCCCGCGCGTCGGTTAATCGGCCTGCGCGTTTGGCGTGTTCCGCACCCGACACAGCTGACGAAGGGAAAGCAACGGAGCTCCTTTGCGAGGAGTGCGGAGGCTACGGAGTGACGGCGACGACGGACAAGGCGCAACGCGACTGCGATGACGGCGGCGGCGAGAACCGGCGAGCCTGCGCGCGATGCGGGAAGCCGCTTCGAAGGCACCGCCACCGCCGCCACCACCACCGCCGCCACCGCCGTCACCGCCGCCGTCGCCGGGAAAAAGCCGCACGCGTGCCAGGAGTGCGGCAAGGGGTTCACGACGCGCTCCTACCTGAAGGCGCACGCGCGGACGCACAGCGGCGAGTGGTCGCACGTGTGCGGCGAGTGCGGCCGGGGCTTCGCGGTGCGCTCCAGCTACGAGGCGCACACGCGCACGCACACGGGCGAGAAGCCGCACGAGTGCGCCGAGTGCGCCAAGCGCTTCGCGCGCGCCTCCGACCTCGTGAGGCACTCGCGGACGCACACGGGCGAGAAGCCTCACGTCTGCGGCGAGTGCGGCAAGGGCTTCACGCAGCGCTCCAACCTGGAGACGCACTCGCGCACGCACGCGGCCGAGAAGCCGCACGTTTGCGGCGAGTGCGGCCGGGGGTTCGCGCAGCGCTCCAACCTGGAGGCGCACTCGGCCTCGCACACGGGCGCCTGGCCCCTGGCGTGCGCCAAGTGCGGCAAGGGCTTCGCCCGCCGCTCCGACCTGGAGAAGCACACGCGCAGGCACACTGGCGAGAAGCCGCACGTGTGCGAGTACTGCGGCAAGAGGTTCGCCCAGCACTCGAACCTGCACACGCACCTGCGCACGCACACGGGCGAGAGGCCGCACACGTGCGCCGAGTGCGGCCGGGGCTTTGCCCAGCGCTCGCACCTCGAGGCGCACTCGGTGCTGCACACGGGCGTGTGGCCGCTCGTCTGCGGCGAGTGCGGCATGGGCTTCGCGCAGCTCTCCGACCTGAAGAAGCACCGGCGGACGCACACGGGCGAGAAGCCATACGTGTGCAAGGAGTGCGGCAAGTGCTTCTCGCAGCACTCGAACCTGCACACGCACACGCGGCGGCACGCCGGGGAGAAGCCGCACGTTTGCTCCGAGTGCGGCAAGGGCTTCGCGAAGCGCGCCGAGCTGGAGGATCACTCTTCGACGCACGCGGGCGCGTGGCCGCACTCGTGCGAGGAGTGCGGGAAGGGCTTCTTCCAGCGTTTCCTCTTGGAGGCGCACGCTCGGACGCATGCCCGTGAGTAAGTCGCACGTGCGACGTGGGTAGGTAGGCGCGTGCGTTGAACTCCTTTCACCGACGTACGTGACCAACCGCGCTAATCGGAAGTGGCGCTGGGAGGGCAGGGAGGAAAGGAACAACATAACTAAACACAAAAGAGCAGTTCTAAAGAAATGAGTCGTATGTACGAACGTTGGACTTCTTTTGCACCCTACGTGGCCGACCCCGCTAATCGGAGGGTGCGGGCGGGAAGGGGTTGAAGGACGGTAAACGATTCTCCGTGCGCGCGCAGAGAACGCGATGGGAGTTTTCAGGAGAGAGGAGAGACGTTTTGGAAACGTAAAACCGCGGTGGCGGTGCCGCGCCCAACTGTTCAGCGGTTCCGAGGGGTCAGTGTGACCGGTCTGGTTTTTTTTTTGCTGCTGTAGAATGTAAAAATGTGTTCATCGCAAAGCCCCCCCACCCCCCCACCTCCTGACACCACGGCCTTTCAAGTGCCTTTTGGTAAATCCCGCAAAGCTTCTGTTGAGTCGCACGATGAGGAGGCAAAGTGCTTTCCGTCAGGGCTGAGGTCTGATTGAATGATCTTCTGTCGTGATGATAGGGAACTACAGTAAACCCTTGTTAATTCGACTTCTTGGTTCTTTCGGTAAAGTCACGTAGAAGGGAAGTAATAAAATAATAATAAAATTCTCACGATGTTTCGGCCACAACGCCTGAGGACGGCTGCTTGCGTTGTGGCCGAAACGTCGTGAGAATTATTTTATTATGTTTTATTTTTATTATTTTATTACTTCCCTTCTACGTGACTTTACCGAAAGAACCAAGAAGATGAATTCCTGCAGTCACGAAAGCTTTAAATCGAAACCTTGTTAATTCGACACACATGGGGCCCTGGCCTTGCAGAGTTTTCCAATATTCCGAATTATGTACAAAGGTACTCCCCAGTGCCTCCTGCCCCTATAAAAAATGTTTTTCAAATTTGTTTTCCAAACTCGGGTGCGATTCCCGCTCACGACCAAAACGGCAAAAACCAGTGACGATTATCTGAACCGGTCCTGGGCCTCCCCTAGGTCGACTCAGCGTCAAATGAGTACCTGGTGCGGTGTGTAGTAAACATCGCCACTGGGGAAACGAAGGCGGCCGGGCGTGGTGCTGGCCACCCACCCCCTCGTGTGTCGTGCCGGCCTTTATAGGTGCTCGCTAACAGCACTTGCCCCTACAGTCTTCACGCACCATACTCATTGACACACACACACCCCCCCCTGCATCCATTTTATCCAAAGCTTTGGATTTGTCTCGCACGCCCAAAGGATTTATACTTCAGTCCCTTTCCACTACTTCTTGATGTGGCCGTAGACGACATTTCTGAGAGGCTTGGCTTGCACGGAGTGCACATAATTTTCGATGTAAAGCTTTCGTGACTGCAGGGATTCATCTTCTTGGTTCTTTCGGTAAAGTCATCACGTAGAAGGGAAGTAATAAAATAATAAAAATTAAACATAATACAATTTCGATTTAAAGCTTTCGTGACTGCAGGGATTCATCTTCTTGGTTCTTTCGGTAAAGTCACGTAGAAGGGAAGTTAATAAAATAATAAAAATAAAACATAATAAAATAATTCTCACGACGTTTCGGCCACAACGCAAGCAGCCGTCCTCAGGTAAAGAACAGGTCTGTCGAGGCGACAGCGTCTGCGTTGTGGCCGAAACGTCGTGAGAATTATTTTATTATGTTTTATTTTTATTATTTTATTACTTCCCTTCTACGTGACTTTACCGAAAGAACCAAGAAGAGGAGTGCACATAAACAAGGTGATGCCCAAAGCGACCGGTCTGCACTAACGCTCCAACGGGCCGTGTCGTTGTTTTTGGTCGTGGCTCGCGGCGGCGTTCTAACGCGCTATGCCGAAATTGGACCGTTCGGTACTGCAATTCGGCTCGTGGCCAATTACTAATACACGCCGTTTATATGCCGAAAGGACAGCCGTGCCCAGAGCCGGTCCAGCCGCTAAGCGACCCTTGCAATTGCAAAGGGCCCCGTGGCCAGCAGAGGGCCCCCTAGAGTCACTGCTAGTGAGTGGGTGAAAAAAATCATACATCAAAGGGGCCTCCAACCAAATTTTGCTTAGGGCCCCCAAAGGTCTAGGGCCGGTTCTGGCCGTGCCAAATTATCCCCAATTCAGAACGATCAAATGCCGAAATAACGAGGTTTTACTCTGCAGTGTGATTTTAAATGGTGTTTTCTCGGGCATGCGTTAGAGAGCGGTTGTGCATGCGGCTTTTGATGCTTTGTTCGGGCTTTGGGAAAGCCATCCCGAGGAGTATTATACTCCCCTCTGATCTTCGCACCTGATTTGGCTAACGAAGTGAAGGCTTCACATTTACCATCCTTGCTCTATTTGAGGCCGAAACAGGAGGAGGATTTCTCCACAATTCTGGCTGTGTCGCCTGATGATGCTGGTTGCTGTTGCAATTACCGGCGGCGAAACATCACGGCTACTCGAATTGTGAATGTTGTAGTGGGTTTTACTCTCCAACGCACAACCGGTTAGTGCTGTACTAGTAACGAATTGGCCACGTTTCATTTAAGTGACAAATCTCACTAATTGGCTGTGAAGGGTGGTGGCGAGTTTAACGACACATTTATATTTACGCAATTTAACCCCAAAAAAGCCTCTCATGGACAACATGGGATCTGCTCCTAAGCAGCAAAACACAGCGTACGATTAATTATAATAATTTAAAAACAAGTTGCATTTCGTCCGTATGTCCCAATGCGTCACCGTATATTGAAAGCAGGAAATAAACAACCACGGTGGCTATGAGATCTTAACTACCTCGCCTGGTATACAGGAGGTCGTGGGTTCGATTCCGATCCAGACGATGCCTGCTTTCTATTTAGAGTTTGTATCTTCTCTCTCCCTGTGGTCGTGTGGATGTTTCTCTGGTTTTCCCCTCCACATTTAGGATGAACGTGCGTTCGGAGTATTTGGCTGCTGCTAGAAATATCCACGTGGTTAGAAGCCACTTTGTTGAGCTGCCATTTGTGATAGCCAGATCGCTTCTGAAACAAAGAGCAATGCAGCTTGGAGGGCTTCACCCGGTAACTTAAAACGTTTAAGTTTGGCTTATCAAAAGGCCAGAACTAGGGGGTGAAGGGCAGTTTTGAAAAAGAGGGTGCGTTTTCAAGACAGGACTTAAACGGCTCAAACGACTCTGATTTTCTTGGTTCTTTCGGTAAAGTCACGTAGAATGGAAATAATAAAATAATAAAAATAAAACATAATAAATCATTCTCACGACGTTTCGGCCACAACGCAAGCAGCCGTCCTCAGGTGAAGAACAGGTCTGTCGAGAAGACTTTACCGAAAGAGCCAAGAAGATGAATCCCTGCAGTCACGAAAGCTTTAAATCGAAATTCGACTCTGATTTGTTCTAGATTTGAAGCTTTCGTGACTGCAACGATTCATACCCTTAGGTTTTTTCGGTAAAGTCACGTAGGTAAAAATAATAAAATAAAATAATAACAAATGAAAATAAATTTCGATTTAAAGCGTTCGTGACTGCAGGGATTCATCTTCTTAGGTATTTCGGTAAAGTCACGTAGAAGGGAAGTAATAAAATAATAAAAATAAAACATAATAAAATAATTCTCACGAGGTCTGTCGCCTCGACAGACCTGGTTTTCACCTGAGGATGGCTGCTTGCGTTGTGGCCGAAACGTCGTGAGAATTATTTTATTATGTTTTATTTTTATTATTTTATTACTTCCCTTCTACGTGATGACTTTACCGAAAGAACCAAGAAAATGAAAATAACTCAATTAAATCACGACGTGTCGGAGGCAACACAAGTCCTCCGTCTTCAGGTGGGACCGTCACAGCTAAAATTTACTGTATCAATTTGATTTGCCTCGTGAGCATGAAGGCAACGCGTTCTTCCAAAGCTCTGGGAGCTGCGCAGTGCAAGTTCAAGTTCATGTATTAGGTATAGCCCTGTGAGCCATTCGGCGCTTGAATCGGGTGCAACCGCAACAAACAAAAACATGAACAAAAAACATCTTAAAGTGAATATGTGACTAAGTGCAAACAGAAAATCCAAGAAAAGACAGCAAAATGTTGCAGAAAAAACCACCGTACACCAACGCTGTGTGCAAAAATCCCAGTGGGATGCAAGTCAAACAACAACAACAACAACAACCACAAGACAACTTAGATTAAGGCCATCAGTCTAACTCTGTACTACAACAAACAAACATGGCTAAACCAATACACTTTTCGAAATCACCAAAATAAAGCCATGAAAGCAATGAAAAAGCAATCATAGGAACTGTGACGGAATTTTCACAATAAACGGCATAAACAACATGTACCACCAAAACCCTGCAGCCATAGCTGGCTGCATGAGCCACTCCACAACAGCAGGAGCATCAATCGGAGTATTATAATTTTTCAATGCAGAGGCAGGGCTCTTGGGAGAAGGCGGCAACGCGTTGGAGAGTGACCGAGGATCGGTGCCCGTAGGTATTGCGGGGCTGACCCATTGAAGGCCGGTCGTCAAACCTCGGGACCACATCTCGCCGAATTACGGCTTTCCTTCTGTTGAAGACGTGTAGTGGTAGTCGGCTTTCGCGACCAATATTATCCGTATTAATAATAGAGGTATCTTTTTTGCGGGGTGTCAGATCGCGTGAATAAAAATGCGTCGTTAAAAACCCGCCGCCACCACCCCCCGACGGGTTTAACGACGCATTTATATTTACGCGATCTAATCCCGAACCGTTTTTATTTGGAGTTTTTCTTCTACACCCTCCCCCCCCCTTCCTTCAGAAAGGGGCCGTTGACGTAACCTGTCTCCTATGTTATACTCATACGCAGGATCCCCAAAAATGAATGTACCAGTAAGAACATTGAATAGGCGCGTTGCTTTATTCGAGATACTGGACGGAAATGTAATATGAATGCACGCAATAGAACTGATAAGCTTGAGGTTGCTTACCTTTTGTATGCTATTGAT